GGGGGGGGAAATCACATTTAAAGCGTACAGGCATAAACTGCACAGATTCCCTCGGTGTTAGAAGTACCAAGGCGTTTGCTAGGATGTAAGATTGCGTTTCCTTGGGGCAATACTTACAGAGTGTTACTACTGCAAGTAACAGCCCCGTTTTAGGAGAAATGGGAAAGAAACAGCTTCCGTGTCCATCTGCTCACTTTTAAACCCTGCAGATGCAGAATTCTGCTTCACAGTTGTTTTGATTTGTTGAGGGGTTTTTAAGCCTGAATTTCCAAATGAATTATTTTCTGTTCATGTGCTACATCTAAAAACCAACAGACTCTTCTTAAAAAAAAAAAAAAAACAAACCTGGTCCTAATCTGCTTGTCATCTGTCTGAAAAAGTTAATGAATTAAATGGAAGGAATCACATGGGTAAGAATAATAATAAAAGAACCTGTCTTTGCATTTGTGAGTAGGAATGTTAGAAGAATCTAAGCAGGATCCTGTAGATGGGATGGTAAAAGTATTTCTTGTCTTTAGACTCCTGACTGAAGTCAGAGCGAATCTTTCCGTTGACACAAGCTGGCTCTGCATCAAGGCCATACCATACAGACATCATATAAAAGATGAAGTATCTTAAAATAATGAGCACTTAAGCCTTTCTGATAGATCCGTGAATTACCCTGCCTCACAGAGAAGCTAAAAAGAAACTGTCTTGTGACTTTTACTCCAGGTTTAGCTGTTGTGTTTGTGTGCCGGCAGCAGCAGAGGACTGGGCAACATCGCTTTAGAAATAATTTTCAGTGTTACATTGATAAAAAAAAAAAAATCATGTGCTGAACCGGAACCTCCCGACTGGCTGGCTGGAAGGGGCCGGAGCGCTGGCGGCGCAGGGGGAGGGCAGAGCAGACACCCCCACACCAGAGCAGCTTCTTGCACTTGACCCTCCCTGCGGGGGAACAGACCCCTATGATTTCAATCCTGGAATCTGTTCACCCTTTGTTTTTAATGGAAATGAAACCTCTGGCCTCCCGCCCCAAACCGTGCTATGATTCTGTACAAAAGGACGGGAAAATCAGATTGCAAGATTCAATTGCTTTGACAATTAAATCCTTCAGTTCAGTGAGGTGAGAGCAGGTCCTGGGAGTTTATCGATTCCCAGTTCTTTCTGTGTCTCCGGCCTTACTGTTATTCGGTTTATCTCAGATTGTTTATTTTCCGATTAAGACATCTTCTTAATTTGTAGGAAAGTTTTTAAATTTTTACTATAATTAGTACCCATCAGCAAAATTAATATTTTCTACCATCTTAATCGCTTGAGAAACAGAAAACATCAAAGTACGGAATTTCCCTCTGTGTACAAAACATACTACGTATTAATTTTGCTTGTGATTTTTCACAAGGCCCTTTTGATAGTGCTGTTGTCCCACTGTCTCTTAATTAAAGTAAAGCAGCCTTTTATTTTTGTACTTGTGAGAAACAGATGTTATTTAGAAGGAGCAGATGGATAACTCGCATATGGCATGATTAATAAATTGTTGCTTTAAACCGTAGCACTTAAAATAGCTCTAATTTTTGCGAACCAAAATTGTGATGGGTGAAACTACAGACCTAAAATACAAACAAATTCTTTCAAGTTAACTACAAGAAATGTTCCTGCCTCTCATATTGCTGCCAAGACAAAAATATCATGTTTTGTAGTATTTCCATTCTTACTGTGGATCAAATACAGCTCATCTGTGTGTAAAATGGGCCCTATTGGCGTTAGGGATAAAAAGGAACAGGATTTGTTACAGTGAATTTCCTCCTGACTTTCTCCAGCCTTCACTTCCCTTTTATTTATATTAGCAGAAAATAAAGAGTTTACCCCAATAGGAATAAATCCACTGAAAGTCAGGAGTAGCTCTGCTCAGAAGCCTGGATTAACCAGATCCCGTTATACTTCCAAGTTCCTGGACTGCAGAAAATCATAATGCATCACCACGGTCTGCCCACTGCTGCACCAAGCCAGGCACGCACGTGGAAGTCTTCACTGGAGGCAAAGGCTCTTCCAATCCTCCTGGAAATTTATTACAAATTTTTTTTTAAATCCTAGGTTTGCATAATCCTAAAGTTACACGGGAAGAGACTCACAAACAGCTCTGACCTTCCTCCTGTTACTTATTATTTGCTGTGGAACCTCATTTAATCTAAACGTGTTAAATCTGTCTAGTGAAAAACTCATTCCCTGGAGAGCAGCATCGGGCTCCCAGAGTGCTGGCAGGCAGCAACACAGAAATTAAAATTCAGATTCCTTATCTGAAAATTCTGATTTTATTTTTTTTTTAAAGTATAAAATGAAAGAGTCATGCAAAAGTTTTAAATGGAAGTGAAAGTTCAAAGCGGAGACTTGAAGTGTTTTAGATCCAGAAAGGCTTGGGACGTGTTTTTAAAATGTCAAACTATATTTCTGGCTTGCATCTATAATGTGTCTTCTCAGCCTTTGTTCTTCTCACAGCACTTCGGCTTTGATCAGTGTTCTCATAAAATCCAGTTGCTGGCGGTGGCTCTGGCTGTCCGTCGGGGGGCCTGGGGGAGCGTGGTCAGTTCAGGTGCACGTAGGTCGGGGTTGCACACCAATTACTCCGGTGTGATTTTTCTCCAGGACGTTCTTCCTAATGACATTTGTTGCTGGTGCCCCTTCTGCTTGCTCTTGTTTTTACAGGCTCCGGTACACAACCTCGCCCATGAGCTCAGAGGTCCGTGAGCCCCCTGGGCTCATACCTCAGGATCTCCTTCCTCCCCTTTCTTCCCTCCTCTGCTCTCTCCTCCTCCTCCCCACTCACACATTCCCAACCCAAACCGCATTTACACCTGGCAGTCGTTTTCCTCTTAACAATTCTGTCTCTCCAGCAGAGCTTTAGCACTTCTTCCTCATTTTGATCTGCAAATTCTTGACCCCTTACACCTTTTCCCCCATTTTTCCCCCCTCTTCTTTTAACATCGTCAGTCACCCGTCATAGCTTTACAGCTCCATGCACCCTGTCAGCAGTAGATCATTTTCCTGCCCTTTACAGAATCATCTCGGTCGGAAAAGCCCTTGAAGATCGCCCAGTCCAACCATGAACCCAACCTGTATGTACACATTAGAACTACTCCAACATAAAATGTAAACCTAGTGCCTATCTTCCTCGTTGTGTGGAGTGTGTTGTATAATATGAACTTGTCAGTGTTCTTCCTTCTTAAATTTATAATCAGCAGACTAAGGGATCTGCAGCAGCTGATCTCGAAAGCCTAAACATACTTCTGTTGTGGCTTCTGTATCCAGCAATAATGAGTTATTCAGTTCAGAGCAAATCCAAGCACGTTAAACACCTGTTAGGAGAAGTGGTTTAAAATGCATGGCAGCAGTGAATGTTTCCAATAGCAGGGACTATTGAGAATTTTCAGAGTAAGACCTACGACCCGTCAGCCACGTACACATCAGTGGCCTCACTCGGAGCGTTGGCGCCAGTTGTACACCTAATTTCTGTGCTGATACCAACACACAGATGAGAGGGAGAAATAAAAATGTTTGTAAGACAGAGGGGCTTAGATTTTAAAAACCTCCCGTCGTGCATAATTAGATGTATTTACACTGAAATAATAAATATTTTTTAAGGACATAAAAACAAAAAAAGCAAATTTTTTGTTTGATCCGTCTATATATTATATTGAATTAATGAAACAAACCATTACTGATATGTGAGTAACTTTTTTGTTCTCCCTTTTTTTTCTTTCCTAGCAACTACAGTGCACTGTTAGGAGTGTGGATCTATGGCTTTTTTGTGGTGATCTTGCTGGTACTGGACCTTTTGTATTACTCTTCAATGAACTATGACATTTGCAAATTCTACCTGGCGCGGTGGGGAATCCAGGGAAAGTGGATGACACAGGGACAGAGCCAGTGGATTAACCCTGCTCAGGATCCAAGCCAAGTACAGACACAGCCTCAGCCAGAGACGCAGCCTCAAACTCAGCTACAGCCTCAAACATCACAGACAGTACATACTTTAAAAGGAGATGCTTTAAGCCCACCCCTGATGTCTTTTCAGAGTACATCTGCCTGGTAAGTAAGTGAAGCCATACTCTGATCTATTTTTTGTCTCTGTTGTTTCGTAGTGTGAACAATAACCTGTATTTGGAATTCCGGCTGAACAGCCCCATTTTTCTTTATATCATGAACTGTCTTAAAGAATTACTATTAGAAGTGCTTTCTTACTCTGGAATATATTAAGACATCTTTTCATACTGTTCACAGAGAAATAGAGGCTGCCATTTTTCAGTGCTAAATAGTTTCACTACTCTGTGGTGCAAATAAACTACAATTCTTTTGTTCTACACCGACCGTTATAAAATGAATTTTAATCAGGTGCCAAAGACTAATTGCTATGTGTATCTATCTATCTGTTGGTCTGGTTTTAAAAGATGGTATAAATAGCGACACTCAGATAGCTTCAGTGCGAGATGTCACAAATCCACACTGTTTGTGGCATGAGACACAGGAACAACATAAAAACCAGGTTAGGATTTTTTTATATGCATAGCCAGAAAAGCATAGCCTGATCTCATTTGACGGAGTGACACAACTAGGCTACTGTAAAGTTAAATGCTACGAAACCAAAACAAAACCACCCCAAAACCCCAGACCAAACGAGAGACAGATACTTGAGGAGGAGGCAGAACTTGCAGTATAAATAGCATAAACTAAATACTGATAGCCAGGGAACAAAATGACATTGAATGATTTTGGACTGGTTTTGCCAAAGAAAACAGAAGCAGAGGAAGGGAGCTGAATAAAACGATGCTCTGAATAAGGTGTCAAGAAAGGCAGGGACTTTTTTCTTGGCAAGACAGCATGAAGATTTGGAAGGGGACAGAGAGGGTACAGAGACGCCAGTTTATTTTAGAAATCTTCCAGAAGGTTGAGCGCTGAGTTTTGGCAATTAAAGTGATGTAAGAATGAGCAGGGTGACAGAGGTGGCAGCAGCTCCCGAAGCTGCAGAGCATGTAAAGCCACAAGGTTGATCTTGGTCTGAAGCCTTTGGGTAGCGCTCAGATGGGACGGGGATGGCAGTGGTCCTCCAATTTCCTAACTTGCCCCTTCATTTGAAGTGTCAGTCTAGAGCAAATAGGGTTGAAGATTTTTTGTAGTGGAAAAGGTAGGGATAGTTTGACCCAAGGAGAAGGAGCAGTGACAAAGGAGGTCATTTGGCATAGTAGGCAGTACTGGACGTATCCAGTGCAGGTCAGACTTAAGGCCCATTCTAGCAGGCTTTGTCCAAACAGAGCAGTCTAACGGTGCTCCTTAAGACACAGACTTTCTTGTGCTTGGTTGTAAGCACTCTTCGTGTCTCCTTCCTCTTCTCTCCTTTTTCCTGCTGCGAATTCCTTCAGCTTTTTTGCGCGTTGATTTCCCAGTCTTCAGTCAGAATTGCCCTATGGGTTAAGACCAACATTTGTACTCTAGCTTAATACGTGTGTGTGTGTGTGTGCGTGTAAACACCTAACGACTGCATGAAGAGATAGATAGATACATACATATAAAATATTAGCCTGGTTGCATCATTTGGCAATTCTGCCATACCATTACAGAGTAGAGGAACCTGTTCAATAATTTGTGAGTGATTCTTGGTCCCTTCCCGTTACTGACCTTGTTGTTCTGTTTCTTTGGGTTTTTTGAAGCGTTAAGCGGGGAATGTGTGTTAGGATCAGGTGAGCATATCCCATATGCTCCTTTTCCTGTGTTTGCAGGAGATGAGCATTGATAAGTCACCCCAGTAGCCCTCACCCCTTCCCCAGCAAACTCTCTGTCTGTGCTCCCCTCTGTTCCCATCAAATTGTTTCTTTATTTTCCTACTACTTCCACTGCTCAGTGGAAGAAACAAGTGGGTGTTTCCCAGCAAAACCCTGTTTATCCTTTGTATTTCCACGTGTAAAACACTACAAGAGATGCCACATTTTCAAGCTTATAACCTGCAACTTTTGAAACTCACAACCCCTTAACTAAGTGAATAGGTGACTCAGTCTGGGTTGGGTACATAAAAAACACCAGGAGAGAGGTAACAGGCCCTGGTGCTCACAGGCAAGGTGTTCAGCATGTGAAAGAGGGTTTGAGTAAACGGCTCCCTCAGAAGATGACAGACCTGTGTACTACAGCAACTGCTAAGACAGTAAGAGGAGGTTGACTTATTTCTCCATTAGATAATCTGCAGGTTATATACATGAAAATATGGTAATTCTGCCATAGAGAAGTTAAGCTTAGTTTCAGAGTCCAGTTCTGCTAGAGTCTGTACTCGATGAATGACCTCAGTGCTGTCTTCTCAAAATGTAATTGTACTATCAGTAGAAGAGCAAGAGTTACTGGATTTATCATTTCCATCACTGGTTTTAAAATCGTCTAATCTATTCATATCTTTTTTTGTATTTTACACCTGAATATCCATTGTTGTGCATGATGACACCAACCTCTTAGAGGCTTTGGTGACAGCAGATTTCTACTCTATAAAATCAACTTTGCAGTTTGTGTCGGCATTTGTGACGTGTCCTACCTTTATCCTGGTTTTTCCCTCCATAGAGAAAATTAACGTTTTTCTTTAGAACCTCACAAACACACTTACGTGCGTTTATATATCGGTGGTATCACACCGTAAGAACAGTCCCTGTTTACAGATGAGCTTTTGGAAAATGCAAAATAGATGGTTTTTTAATCCTGTGAGATACGCATTTATCTCAGGGCATAAAAACTTAAATACCGTTAAAAGCATTTTCCAAAACAGTTTGCGAGTTTTCAGGATGACAGGTGGTGAAGCTGTTAGCTTCCTGTGCTACATTTATCCTAATACAGTTAAAAAACATGCCCGTTCTAGAAGATGCTACATGGTGATAGTAGGAAAGTGATTTTGCACGTTGAGAATCTCGGCAATACTGAAGACTTTAGGTATCCTTGTTGCAGAGAGCAGACAGTGTAAGAAACTGTCCTGGGAAAGATGACGGGATTAACCTGTAATTAGTAAAGCAGTTTGGGGTGTTCCTGGATGAAAAAAAAAAAAAATACAAGTGCTTTTTGTTTTATCATTTCTTGTTCTTGTTTAAATGCTGTAAAATGGCAATGAAAGCAATGACCGAAACAGATCTGTCAGAGAGAAACATCCGGCAGATCGTAGTCTAGAGTGGGTACAACCATCCCCTACAACGTTTTGTGGTAGCAGATCACTTGGTTATTTGCCGGGGACAGAGCGGACCGGGTACCGCCACGGCAGCGTTAGCCCTGCTCTGCCGGGGGCCGGCAGCCTCGTGCAAGGACGGGCACCACGATCACGAATCTCAGGAACTTCAAGCCCGATTTAGCAAAGTGTTGCTTCATCACCTAGTGTCCGGATTTCGCGGCCCAACTAATGTTGATTTCTTCTTTAGTATGGAAACCCTCTGAGGGCTGCCCAAAGGCCGCGCGGTCGGCAGGTCCCGGTGGTGGATGGACCTTCTGCAACCCAAACACCGCCCCGGCTGCGAGGGAACGAGGGCGAACGGCGGCGCTCGGCCTCGCCGCGGCTCCTCCAGGGCACGAGCCCGTGTGAGAAGCCGCCTCTGGTGAGCCCTGAGCCGGCTTTGCACAACTGGAGGTCACACGGCAACAAGCAGCAGGCAAACCCTCGCTACTGCTCAGCAAAGCACACGCCAGGGAGGCAATAAAATGAAGTATTGCAAGTTGTGGAACCAAAATCCTGACTCCTGCAAAAACGTGTTCTCACAACCGTGGGAATATTGTTAATTATTAACGACTAAACAAGGTCGGACTGAGCAAGGAAGAGCGCACACGAGGCAGCGTGGGCCAGGGCAGCCCAGCAGTTCCTCCACATTCTCCGTGTCTGTGCTGTGTTCCAGATGTGAGAGGGGAAGGGATGAACACGGTCTCTCTGCCTTGCTCTGGCGACGTTAAACTCCTCCCCGCCTCCAGCAGGTATGAAAATCAACAGGCAGTTCTGTCCTGAAGCCTCACTCCTGCCTCCCCGTTCCCTGCCTCCCTGTACAACAGCACACAGAGCCAACCTCTGCTCTGTGATCAGGTGTGTCATGCTACATGCCCCAAGCTTTGGAAAAACTGCTGCTTGTCCAGAATCGGGAAAAGTATCAGCCCAGCAGGGTAAGCCTGTGCCTCTTTCCTTTATGTGTTTGGAATGGGTTAGACATTTTACATCCCTTTATTAGATGTTGCAGTCTGCTTTTGCTGGGATCTCCTCCGAGTCACATTGTCCGTCAGACAACAAACAGAATAGTTTTTAGCCTGCTGCTGTTCACCGGCTACTTGACACCTGTTCAGACGACTACCAAAGCACTTATAAACAGAGAAAAAGCCTATAAAAATACTGGCAGAGTTTAGAATCCAGCAGGTAGCTGAGCATGTCCACAGCAACTCTGTAAAAAAAAACCGCAGGAAATAAATACTTTGCTGATGGCTAGAAAGGCTACAGGAAAGGATTCCCTTCGATACCAAATTCTGGAAACAGGGAACAGACTGTCACTGGAGCACAACACCCGCATTCAGCAGTCGTCTGCTTCAGTAATTCCCAAGAGCTGCACGTGCAGCCTCGCCCGTGTCATCTGGTTTGGGACGTTGGCGTTGAAGCAGGCCGGCTGCGCAGTGCGACCGTGGCCCTCGTCCACCAAAACCAGCAGGCACTGGGCTAGTGGGAGGGGTTTGTGCAGAGGCTGCTCTTGATAGCAGATATTTACAGCAACAAAGTGAACAAAATCCACCCCCTTCCTTTTGAAGTGTTTTGAAAATAAGAAATATCTCAAATCTGCATTTGCAAAAATCACCGAACAGGAATGCAATGATGCTGTGACGCAAAATTTTGCATCACAGGACAAAGCATATTTACAGCCCCTGCCTGGGCTTTTATATTACACTCAGGCTAAATATGGCAAGCCAGAGCACCAATAGTTTGTTAACAAAGATGGAAAGAAATAAAATTGAATATTCATGTAAGTGCTTTTGTGAAAGAACCGTCTGGGAATTAACATCACCTGGAGATTCTGGTAACAGACCTCGGGTGTGTTGGACAACACCTACCCTCAGATGTGTGCCTCTGTTCCCTTCAGAATCAAAATAGATTGGGTTAGAATAACAGATATTGTTGAATATATTTTCTTCTAAATATTCTTGTCTGTTTGCTAGGAACTGTGGAACTGTAAAAATAGAAGTAGCTTAAAAACCAAAAGCACGGCCAAGGAAATCACTTCTCCTAGCAAAGGCAGATGCCTGAGCTGGTTCTGCATTGCCTGCCCCCTCTCCTGGCTGATGGCAGGGCAGGAGACCCACAGCACAAGTGGCTTGGAACCAGACACCTCAAAACCTGCAGTGCTCCAAGTCTCATATACTTGCAAAAAATCATGCAAATAAATGGGACGATTTATTTTTCATTTTTATCATTTGTATTTAAATAATTCGAGCTACGTAAGTTACCGCGTGCTTGCTTTCTTCGTTGTATTTAGAAATTCACCATTAGCACATGAAGTGAAGCCAACATTCAAGGTTTCTGCCCGCCTCAATCTGCGTATAGGCAAGATTTGTGTGTATTGACAGATCCTGCATCTTCTCTTGGTACATAGGCAATCCAGAGTGTGCATTTCGTGCCTCACTCTCCTGTTCCTTTTGTTCTGTAAATTATAGACCCCATACTGCAACACTTACTTCTCTGCATCCTTGTAGACTCGCCAGGTATGGGCTGACTGATACTCCCCGTTTAAGCCATTTCTCGACCTTTCCATCAAACTGGGACTGTCACAGTCATCAGCTTCAAGAAAGGCTTTTAAATGGACTGTACAGTTGAAGTGATTTGACTGTGGTAATGAATTATCAGAAAACAGCAATTAGAACAAAAGTGAGCAGTTAAGACCATTGCTAGATGAACCCTGCACACTGAGGAATGAAAACTAATCAAAATACTGGAAACCAGTTCCAAGCATCGTTGGTATTTAAATTTTCTCCTATATTCTGAGCAGAATTTTTTGCAGCCAGATCGTTACCTCATCCACATTATACCACTAACAGCACTGCAGCAGCAGATACCAGCATAAAATGCTGCTCCAGTGAAGCCCACAGTTGCACTGTGTGATGTCACGACACTGTAACATCACACAGAGGAAGGGCTGTGACTTCCCAAGTTTTATCCTCTACATATTCATATATTCATGTAAGTGAATATCAGCCCAGTTGTCTCTGACACGTGTTTAAGAGTGCCTGGATCTACAGTAGCTCCCACACCTTGTATTGAATGACCAGTCTCAGCTGTATTAAGTTTGAACTGGCAGGGACCAAAACTTTTATGGCATTGATAAAATTCAACCACTTGCTTTTGGTTTTTCTAGAGGCTAAATAAGGCCAATAGACAAGTGAACAACAGGGAGAATCAACAGCATTGGCCAGAGATATTGCAAGTGGTAAAAGAAATAAAAGGGGAGGTGTTAAGGGGCTGGAGTTAATTATCCAAAATGGCAAGCTTTCCTGTGTTTCTGCAAAGTTTCAAGTTTCTGAGTAGCACATTTATAACCCAGAGTTCTGAACTGAAAGGAAGCACTTTAAAAAAAAAAAAAAAAAGAAAAAAGAAAATGATGGACAGAATACTGTAGGCTCTGCCCTGGAGAACTACTAAAAACACCTGGTGCTTTAACAGAAGTGAGAATGAAGAAGAAAAAAAATCAGGTCTGTGAAGTAAAATCCCATTGCTTGGGGTGTCTTGGAAAAAATCAACTCCCAGCGTTTATTCTGGATGTCAGGAAACAGTTAACTCCCTCACTCAAGGAGGAACAAGCAGGTGGTAGAGCTGAAGATCACGTACAGACCAATTTATTCTTCTCAGAGTTATTATTAAACAAAAAGCCATATGCAGTAAATATTCCTTTTATGGGGTCGCAGAAAATCTTTTAGCATATGCTAAAATTTCGGCATGAAATAATGGCAGACACTGCTGAAATCCTCAAAAAGCTGATGTGATCGTGCTGCACGCATGGCCATAAATGGTGACGGTGCCGGGCGGTTATTTGCAGTGAGAGCTGAGGTCAAGGAGCTGCCACATCGTTGCTTTTGTTTTCACTGTTCCCTGATTAGATCACGATGAAGACAACGGCAGCAAGCAATTAGGCATTTCATCAGAAAAGTGATAAAAGGTGTTTGTGTGACCTTGGTTTCATAATGATGTTTCGCCGCAGAGTTCACGAGAAGGCCAGCGGTTAGACACAGTCAGTTTGTTCAGCGTTAGGAAGGTATCAGACACGTGGCTGTCTAAGTATCGAAAGCAAAACAGATCAAAAAGCGTTGAAATCCGAGAAACATTAGAGTAGTTTTACTGTTCATTAAGTCATGAGAGGATGCTGATGTCAATCAGCAAACAATTTTCAAGAACTTAAAAGGTTTTGGGGGGAAGTTACAGGATCAACACTGACATAAATACATCTATGCAGATATCGACAACCATAATGGTCGAGAAAATCTGTTCACTGCAGACAAAACACGCCCCTGGAAAGCTTTAAAAAAGTATAAAAACTATAAAAAAACTATTAAAAACTATTAAAGTTTTCTTGGAAATGGGAAATGCTAGAAAGATAAAACCAGTTTAAGACATTAAATGGCAGGAATATGACAAACGTAGCTGGGACACAATTAGAAGTGCTGCTAGTGTTGGTCCAGTGTCAGATAATAGCGCGATCCCGAAGCAGAGCGAGATGTTACTTTAATGCCAGAGAAAGCAGTTTAATCAGCACAACACTATGTAGCGTCTGTAAAACAGCATCAGAGGAATGGGAGGACTTTGTAGAGTCGGGCCGAGGGTTGGACTCGATGATCCCAAGGTGCTCTTCCAGCCTGAGTGATGCTGTGCACAAATGGTGCAAACGGGGCACCCAGCACAGAATACAGGAGGGTAAAAGTAACTCTGCAAAGTGGTGACGTGGGAAATAAGGCACCTCACTGTACTTCCCAGGCGGGACATCTGTTTCCCGGTGGTTTGTATGTGTTGGTAACCTTTACTTGGGCTCCAGAGAAGCTCAAAGATGGAATATTGTGGAGACTTCACATTTACAGGGTTAAAAGCAGCAAGTTGGAGCGCAGAGCAATGACTGCGGGGCTCAAATCTGCAAGGGGACAGGCTCCAGCTCCAGTTCTTCTTTCTGAAGGACTGGTGCTCTAGGACACAGTTGAGTAGTTTATGCGCAAAGGAACCTTTGTAGTTAGAGGAATTGTGTCCATTACCCAGCTGATGGTATCTCTGGGCTGAATTCTGTGTTAGAGCAACTCCGTGCAGTCCTTAAAGCGATGCTGCTCTGGGAGCTGAGGCACGCTGCACAGGCTGCTGCTTTCTGCTCAGAGTCATTACTAGCGTGTAGCAGCGTGTGGAAAAGTAATTGCCATGAGCTTCATCAGATATTACATTAAATTAATTAAACAGTCATTAACTATATTCTACGTTGATTAGAGATACAGATTTTAATCAGTCATGCAGACAAGGGAGGCAAGTTATTTTCTATTGCATTCCCAACTTGTCGTCTCGGAAAGGTGATGAGTCACGGGGAGCTGCAGAACCCAGCAGCTTTTATCATTCTTATGCTAACAGCTCGTCCCCAGCAGTTTCACATAAAAAGTTTTAGAGAAATTGGTTGGAAACCAGCCAGAGCTCACCCTTTTCAATCCCCAAAAACGTCCCAAACTTCTCTTACGCTGCTGAAGTTAACAACCGAAATAATCAACTGGAAAATGCCTGCCTAATTTGCATGTTAAGACCTTTTAAAGAAAATTGCATGAGGGGCTGGGAGTTGACTGGGTTTTTTTTACTATTCACTGAAGCCTCTCGGCCACAAAAAATGGCTTCCCAATTAAAAAGAGCCCCACTGCTTGCCCGAGCAATTAAAAGAAGACAAAAATGTGGATGTGTTAAAAATCGAACTTTGTTGTGATGCTACTGA